GAGCACAAGGGCCTTGAATATAAGAACTACATAGGCTAGGTGGTGGTGGCACACGCCTTTAATCCCAACACTCGGGAGGCAGAGGCAGGCGGATCTCTGTGAGTTCGAGGCCAGCCTGGTCTCCAAAGTGAGTTCCAGGAAAGGCGCAAAGCTACACAGAGAAACCCTGTCTCGAAAGAAAAACCAAAACCAAAACAAAAAAGAACTACATAGAAGGTGAACTAGAGTTATGATGGTGTTACTGTCTAGTCCAGTGGCTCCCAACCTTCCTGATGCTGCCACCCTTTAATACAGTTCCTCACACATTGCAGTGACCCCCCACCATAAAATTACTTTTGTTGCTACTTCATAACTGTAATTTTGCTACTGTTATGAATCATAATGGAAATATTTTTGCAGACAGAGGTTTGCCAGAGGGGTTGCAGCCCACAGGTTGAGAACCACTGGTCTAGTAGCTGGCAGGCGTACATGAGTCCAGGTCATTTCTGCTATCCAGCATGTGGGAAGGAGTAAGTGGTGGTGGCTCCTGTCAGCCTGACATGGATTAAGAATCCCCTGTGGAGGGAGCTTCCATGAGGAATTGTCCATCTTCCTTCAGCCTGTGAACATGCTTGTGGGGAATTTTCTCAATGGGGTTGAGGAGGAGGGAAGATGAAGGACGCACCCTGGATGTGGGCAGTACCATATCGTGGGCTGGGCTGACAACTGGGTGATAAAAAGGAAGGGGGCTGAGCATTAGCCTACATGAATTAAGTCATTGCTGTCTGCTCTTGACTATGGATGTCATTGGGACTAGCTATTTATTTCAAGTTTTTGCTGCCTTGGTTTCCCCTAGGGTGATGGACTGTAACCTGGAATTGTGAACCCTGTCTCATATAAGGTGCTTTTTTTGTTTTTTTGTTTTTTGAGACAGGGTCTCTCTGTGTAGTTTTGGTCCCCGTCCTGGAACTCACTCTGTAGACCAGGCTGGCCTCGAACTCACAGAGATTCACCTGCCTCTGCCTCCCGAGTGCTGGAATTAAAGGCATGTGCCACCACTGCCTAGCTATAAGGTGCTTTTATCAGGATATTTTATCACAGTAACAATAAAGGAAGCTGAGACAAAATGGAATTTTCCCTAGAAATTCAGAGGATTGTGGCTAGAAAAAATAATAGAGAGAAGGCAGGGAGTTTAAGAAGAAACCAGAGTGCCTAATGATGAAGGTGTGTCTGGAGCTACAGTGACGGCTCCGTGGGTAAGAGCACTTGCTATGTGACATGAGGATCTGAGCTTGTCCCCCAACACCTGCATAAAAAGGTAGGCGTGACTGCAAGTGCTTGTAACCCCAGTCTTGAGGGTTGGAAACAGGCAGATTCCCCCAGAGCTTGCTGGCCAGCCAACCTAGCCCAAACGGCAAAGGTATCATCAGTTCAGTGAGAGACCCTGTCTCAGAACAGCAGGACTGAAAGTGATGCAGGAAGACACCACATATCCCGCTCTGGTCTCCACATGCATGCACACCTACACACTGACATGCACACACTGCACAGATGTTTTTGTGTACACCCTGGGGAGAAGAGAGAAGGAGAAGGAAGTAGCGAGGGAGGGGGAAAGGGAGAGGCAGAGGCGGGGTGGCGGCGGGCAGGGGGAGGAGAGGGCTGATTTCCTGTTTCATGCCAGGTCACCTAATCAGACAGGCACAAGCTCTTAGGTATGGGCATCTTGCTTAGGAAAAATCGACCCCTCTTGGGAGTTTAGAAGGACCTCATCAATACTGCTGCACAGTTCTCTGCTTCTCCAGGGAAACCAACTCCTGGGCTGGACAATCAGTTTCCACTAGACTAGATCCTGGCCAAGCAGCAAAGTTTTCATCTCTAGAATGCAGATAAAACCCTGGGAGTTAGGACAGCATAGAAATGGGCAAGTTCTGATTTGAAATACCGCTTCTGAATTTGAACTCAACATTTCCCTTTGTTTTGCTCTGATTACCATCTTCCAGACCTCTCACTTCAGGGAATCTGATGTATTTCTGTCTACTCATCAAATTATTCTAGGGTGTCAGCTTCTCATATATTCACTTGATTTCAGCAAAGGCTTTTTCTGACAATATCATTGCTTGTCAACAGAGCCAGGTGGGGAAAAATGTGCTCAACTTATATTTCAGTGTGTTTTTATATTTCCTTCTTGCCTAACATAGCATTCCATTGTCCTACGTCACTACATATTATTGAATAACCTTATAATAGCTTTATGCATCTGTAGTAACTTATTTAACTAGTCCTACAGGAAGTGATGGTTCTAATGTACATCTTTGGTGTCTATGCTACCCAAAATGTTTCCCTGGGACAGATTCCTGGACACACAAGGAAAGGACACATAGATTAAGAACTTTTTTATTTTTTTTCTTAGAAACAGAATCTCACAATGGAGCCCAGATGTGGTTAATATATTGTGCACCCCAATAAACTTATCTGGGGGTCAGAGAACAGAACAGCCATAATATTAAACATAGAGGTTAGGCAGCGGTAGCACACGCCTATAATCCTAGCATTCCAGAGGCAAAGATCTGTCTGGATCTCTGTGAGTTCAAAGCCACACTGGAAACAGCCAAGCATGGTGACTCATGCCTTTTAATCTAAGGAAGTGATGGCAGGAAGCAGAAAGGTATATAAGGTGTGAGGACCAGGAACTAGCCTGTTAAACTTTTAGGCTTTTGAGCAACAGTTCAGCTGAGATTCATTTGGATGAGGATTCAGAGGTTTCCAGTCTGAAAAAACAGGATCAGCTGAGGAATTGGCAAGGTGAGATAGCTGTAGCCTGCTCTGTCTCTCTGATCTTTCAGCATTCACCCCAATACCTGGCTCTGGGTTTGTTTTTATTAATAAGACCTTCTAACAATTTCTGTTATACCCAGATGACTTCAAACTCCCAGTGATCCTCATTTCACAGACTCATGAGTGCTGAGATGACAGATACGAACTACCATGCCTGGCTATAGCAACTTTCTTGATGCACATTTTCTCATTGACATCCAGTGGATAAGATGGTAACAGCTTATAAATCCCAATAGTAGCTCCTATCAGCTTGATTACCAATATTTATAAAACTTGAAGTTTGCCAATTTCACATGAGATAAACAACAGATTTTTTTTACATATTTTCTTTCTTCAGCTATTTTTATTAGATGCCACCATACACCACACGTAGATGTAGGTCCTGTACCTACAGTAGTGAGCAAACTATTTCCTGTATAGACTTTACCTGCCACCAGGGGCAGATAAAGACAATTTCAAGGCAGATGATCTGTGAAGAACTGTACAGCAAGGTATTGGTGTTGTTAGGCATAAAGTGGTATTTTAGACAGGAATCAGGGAAAGCCTCTTTGTTGAGGTCATAGGTAATCAAAAGTCTCAAGGAACAGAGAGAAAATAAGATAAGCACATTCCAAGTCTGTGCAAATATGCAGAGAAAAGAATGAACGTGCTGTATCTAGGAACTGCAAGAAGGCACTGGTGTTAAGTGGTCCTTTTGGGGGCAGGTGGGTTATTCTAGGTGACACAGACAGCCTCACCATCCATTTAGGTTATATTCTGAGTATAATGGGAGTATCTGATAGGCTGATGGAAGATCAATCATTCTAACACAAGTTGCAGACACTGGATGGAAGTGAGTTTGCTGGTGAATTCATAGCGTAAGTCTAGAAGGAAATACAAGAGACTGTATTGCTTCTGGGAAAAGAATTTGGTGATCTGGGGGATGGGAAAGGGGGCGTTGTGTTATGCTGTTTTGTATAACTTAGGCTGTGGACACTGCATATGCATTCCTGAATGGAGAAGACCAATTTCTGGGGCTGGTGTAAAGATTTCACTGCAGGAATCAAGACCGGAAGGAAGCAGCAGCCTGTGAGAGGCAATGGAGCTTGACCTCAGGGGATGTGGGACTGCAGATGTGAAGAAGTGATCAGACTTGGCACATTTTGACAATAAAGAACTGGCTAGTGAATTGGGTGTAGCCTTTAGAATGAAGAGATATCAGCCATGACCTCTAGATGTTTGAGCAATGCTAATGATATGGAAAATGGAGCTAGTTACAGAGATGGGATCAGCCTAAGGAGGATGGCAGGTGAGCTGAACACAGACCCAGAGGTGTCAATGTGACAGAGAAGACTTTAAAAGGAACATGGGACCAGTGACAATAATTTTTGGCAGGAAAAGTAATGTGAAAGTGCAGAATTGATTTAGGAAGGTCATTGATGGCCTTGATAAGAGCAATATCAGTACAGAGGTAGGTTAGTAATGTGTACTTAGTGCATGGTTAGTGTTTTAGCTTCTCCTAATTTTTTACCACTTTAAGTTTCCATTGATATTTTAGGCTTTTTCATATTGAATTCAAAGAATTCTGCATGTGTTCATTGTATTCGTTGTATATGGTTCTTCTTGGTTTTATCTTTTATTTTCATTTTAATTTTCCTACATTTTTTATTGATTTAAATGTTCATAAACATCTGCTGTTACCTTTGCAGTTAGAGTCATTGACTTCCTAAGAAGCAATAAATAGGCACCTGTATTTTCTTCCTTTCCTTTTTTACCTTTTCATATTTTATGTTTAACTTTATTCATTTGAAACCTATTTTCCACCAAGGAATCCATCGAACTCCCTCACCTTAACTCCCATAATTTAAAAAAAAATCTATTTTCCGTTTATTGAGCAATTATTTCTTTCCTTCCATTTTTATGTTACTGTCTATTGTAGGACATTTTGTGTCCTCCAGAGAGACATTACCATTTTCCTCATTTGGAAATAGGGTCATTGCCGATGTGATTGCTGAAGGTGAGGTCATCTAAGAGTAGGGTGTGCCCTAAATCCAGATGATTAGTGTGATATTATAGAGGAGAGGAGAAAGCCAGATGAGTTCAGAGACATAGGACAAAGACAGACAGCCTTACGAAGACAGAGGCAGAAATGGCATTACTAAAGCCATGACATAGACAGAGCCATAGAAGCTGAGAGAAACTGGTACCCCGAAACTTCATCAAGTTCATTCTCTACCAAGGTCTTGATGTCAGACTTTTGGCTTCTGTAAAAATAGAAGAATAAGTTACATTGTTTGAAGCTGAACTGTGATGTTTCCTTACAGCAGCCATAGGAAACTCATACATCATCTGCACCATACAGGGAATGCTCTTACAAAATGGAGCCTAACCTGTGACTTCAGTAATCTATATCTACTATGGTACCAGTGCTTTTATTAAGAGTATTGCAGTTTATTTTTAATAGCATTCTTCCATTGGCAATCTTTTCTAATTTTTTGTAGGTAATCTTTGAAGTTTTTCTTAGTTACTATTCTATTGCTGTGAAGACACCATCACCAAAGCAGCTTATAAAAGAAAGAATTTAATTGGGGCCTTGCTTACAGTTTCAGAGGGTGAGTCCACGACCATCATGGTGCAAAGCATGGCAGCAGGTAGGCAGTGTTGAGAGCAGTATCTGAGAGCTCATAGCTGATCCACAAGTTACAGGCAGGAAGAGAGAGAGAAAGAGAGAGAGGCTGGGCATGGGCTTTTGAAACCTCAAATTCCACCAACAGTGACACACCTCTCCTACAAGGCCACACTTGCTAATCCTTCCTAAACAGTCCACCAACTAGGAAGCAAACATTCAAATATGTGAGACTATTAGGGCCATTCTCATCCAAACCACCATAAAGTTGATCTTTACACTAGCGTTATTTCTAGAATTGTATATGTCAAGCCTTATTTCTCCTAACACAAATTCAATAATTTCCATATATACATTGCCTGATAAGTTAATAATAATAATAATAATAATAATAATAAAATCACATTACAGGGTGGAGATTAAGCCCAATGGGGGAGCACTTGCCAAGCATGCATGAGACCCTGGGCTCAATCCATAGCACTGAAAAAAAAAAAACAACATGGTACAAGATTACACTAAACATCAAAATCTATATAGTTCACAAAAATATGCTTGCAATTTTTAAAATCAGTTTAAACTTAGCAATTTACATCTTTTCCAGAAATTTGGTATACTATGTTTTTAAAACATTTCTAAAGCCAGGCGATGGTGGCACGCACATACCTTTAATCCCAGCACTCGAGGGGCAGAGGCAGAGGCAAAGGCAGATAGATCTCTGTGAGTTCGAGGCCAGCTTGGACTACAGAGTAAGTTCCAGGAAAGGCTCCAAAGCTACACATAGAAACCCTGTCTCAAAAAACAACAACAAAAAAAAAAACATTTCTAGATCATAAAGCGTAACAAAAATGTATACTTAAAGAAACTTTTAAAATAATTGTTATTGGTCATTATGTATATCTCTTCCATTTCTACATGACTTAAAATTCTCAAAAATTCCTTCATCTTTTATTTCAAGTAAACAATGAAACAGGATTGGATTGATGACAGTTTCCACATTCACCACACTCCCAGCCAACACCCATCACCAATCACGGATGTTTATCCCAAGCTCCACCCTATTTTCCTACATCTTCCCCTTCCCTGGATTCTTACCTGTATCAATCGTTCAAGGTCCCTCAGGAGCTCCTTACATCATACTTCAAGCCATCCATGTTAGAAGTATTTTTTTTCTCTTGTTAATGTTACTAGTTCCTGCCTATAATCCATCTTGTACTTATGTGTTATATGAAAACATTAATTATCTTTCATCTACGAGTTAATAACATATTAGTTTGAGCAATTTTTTTTGCTATATTATACCCAAACACCCATTAGCCAATAAAAAATTAGATTAACTAATTCCACCTGTCCCTCCTAAATTTGTTCTTCCAAATCACCAGTTTTGGGGGATATGTGTGATAAAAACTCATGTTTTTGTACCCAGCATTTAAACACATCCTTACATAGGTCATTGTTAGTCCCTGTAACTATGCCTCCACCTACTAGACACCTACTGGACATCGGTACTCCTGAAATATTTTCCAGTGGGCTGAAATCAGAAAGAATGTACACATTTGCTTTGCTCTCCATCCTGCGACTCCCTGTTGCTTCATCCGTTGAATGATGTTGTTCCAGTCCACTGCGGGTGATCGGGGCTTTGGGGCTTCACTTTGGTTTTGCTTCATATTCAGCAGCAGGAGAGACCCGTGAGAAAATTAAAGATGAAGCTGAAGAATGGGGTGGAGATGTGCCTCTAGCCCGTCCACCCTCAGAGAGGCCTTGGAGTCTTGAAGCCCAGGGTAGTGCCTGAGAACACTCCCGGGACCTGTGAACTAGGTCAGGCTTACCCAAGCACCACACAATCACACGTCACCTTAGCATTTCCGCCAGAATCAGAATCTACCATGCACTTTTTATCCAGTCGTCCATTCAACAAAGACTTAAGGAGGACTTGTTGTGTTCTGGGACCCAGGGACCCAAAGCTCTTTGTCCAAGGTCTGATCAGATTCTAGAGTGGAATGTTCTCTGATGGTTGGAAAGTCTGGATATGCAATTCAAATGCTTCTGAGTCTGTCTGGATTCAAGCAGATTTGCCTTCTCTATACACAAGAATTTGGGCAAAAGATGCAACTTTTTTTTTTTTGCTTCAATTCAGGTTTTCTTAAAAATAGAGTTCAACGAATTAAATATTAAATGAAGAGCTGCATTCAGAGCATTGAATAATAGCTGCTATCTCTGATCTACATTTTTAACAAAGTCATTTCTTTAGCTTATCCTCAGCAAAGCTATATAATATGTTCATTTCGATGTGTGGAGTACATTTTGAAAATATATGCACAATAATTTCATTTGAAAGTGGCCTACCTAAAGTCATTTTGGCATCTACAATGTATGTGACACATTTGAGAAGCAAAATCACCATCCTTCCTTCTAGTACTAGCAAGCAATCTGTGCTGCTGTAGAATGGAGTGTAGGGCTTCATTTTTCCTTTGTATGCTCTCCCCCCTCCACCTTACTGTAACAGCCATTCAATGCTTGATTACTGTAGTGTTTTGTACCTAGGAAACAGCTTGTACCCATTTCTTACTATGCAGATCAAAGCTACACAGGACATGCGTCATCTGGGACATCAATCGAGACAATAAATCAGTGACTGGAAAGGTGACAACACATTTAATCATATGAAAGTTGGCTATCCCCTCTCCAGAACATTTGAGAGTGTTTCAGCTTTTAGACCGGGGTGGAGGTGGGATATTTGCATATGCATGATGAAATATCTTGGGGCTAGAACCCAAGTCAAGACATGAATTTGTTTATGCTTCCTATGCACTTTGTACACATAGCCCGAAGGCCATAAAATATTATGTTTTCAGTGCACCTGCGTTTTGGCGGTAACCAATCCTGTAAGATCATGTGTGGAATTTTCCACTTGTGACATAATGTGGGAGCTGAAACATTTTGGATATTGGAGCGTTTCAAATCTTGGATGCTCTGTCTGTATTGCTTAAGGACTTTGAAGATTGAAGACAAGTGCAAATCCTAGTGAAGCTGCCCATGGACGCTCCATGTTCACACCCCCAGGACACAGGCTGTAAACTCTTGCACACTGGGCAGCCTGGGCCAGGGATTTTTTTTTTTTTTTTTTTTTTGACCCTTGGTAAACTTGAATAAAGGCCAGGACTTTCCAAACACTCTTCCATCCATGAGTACACACACATATTTTCTTTCACTGTGAGTTACTGCCTACCATTTTGAGGCAAATGGCAATCACACAAGTGTGTGTGGAATCTGGAGTGAATGGGTTTTCTAGCGGCTAGGCTGTGGCTGGCCCTCGGTGTGATTCAGAAATTCCCTGTACATGCAACTGCTGCTTCAACCCTCCTTCCTCACCTCACCCATCCTTATAGCTCACAACCTGAATGGTGAACGTATCTGGGTGTAGCCAAAAGACCTGTGCTGTGGACTCAGCTCTGTCAGCTACCAGCTAATCCTGTAACAATGAACAAGTGTCATCTTCTTGGCCTTTTTTTTTCTTCCTATAAAATGAAGAGTGTTTTATGGGATTTCTAAGATTCCCTTCCAAAGCTAATATTCAAGCAACCGGATTCTAAACTCCTCTCAGTGACAGCAGCCCTTCCAATATTTAAATGAAGCTGTCACATCATTTCTCCTCTGCAAATGTTCCCTTCCCTTCCGAGTATCCCTGTCACTTCTGGTTTCCAGATCCCTCTCTTCTCTGGCCATTCTCCTCTGGAAGTAGGCCAGTTCATAAGCTCGGTTCAGATAAGGGGCACAGTGGAGCCTGCCTGGGACTTCTTCCAGGGCACCTGACCACTGCCAGAAGCAAGACTGGCAGACTCAATTAGAACATCTGGTCACCTCCCTTGTCCCCACAACCCAGTGGCACAACCACCAGCTCCACAGATCTAATGAGTCAGATTTAAAATATGAGCTTTTAAGAAAGGGTGATAAAAGTACCTGAGATGATGTTTCCGAGACTTGATAACTTAGGTAAAGAGAAACAATAAGAAAACTCACTGAAATACATACTCTGGTGCCCCTCAGTTCCCAAAGAAGGACTTGTTCTGAAGGGATAAAGGGGAAAAAAGGAGAAGAAACTGAGCCATCACCCACCAGGCTAAACAGCCAGAGATGTTGCTGCCACCGTGTGGCAGCTGCTAAGTTCTGTCTGTGCATGGACAGAAGGACGGCCATCCAATGCCTGAGAATAGGAGTTTCATTTTGGGGTCCCTTGCTTCCATGACTCCTTTCCTCCGAGACTCTATGGTATTAGAAGGATACATTCTTTAGAGGAACCACTGACATCGGCTATCCCTCCACATGGGAGCAAGGGCAAACCAGCGCTCAGCCATACCAGGGTGGTGTAGGACAGTTGAGCCGCTCCCTCCAAATCCCCCTTCCCCCAACTCTTACCTTCAGCCAGCCGGAGTGTATCAAACTTTCTCATTCCTTCGCCCCTACCTGAAAGACAAAATAAGTGTTTAAGAGTGATCGTTACCCAGACTGGAGAGGATGCAGCCTTCCAGAGACGACGGCAAAAATGAAAAGGAAGAGAAATATTAGAAAGATACTTTGGGGCGGAGACAGGAAAGAATAAAACCAGAGCTTGTGACACACCACCCTGTGCCCCTCACAACCCTCACACCGCCCTTCCTGCTTCTTTTCACCCTTAAGTCTCCAGAATGTTGTCGGCTGCACGAGAGGCTGAAGCGTGAGGTGGGGAAAGAAGGGGATAGAATGGCCTCGAGACAAAACAATCTCCAGCGATACTTTGTAATTATGCACACAGTACGGGGGTGTTATGTAAAGGAAACTGCAATGCCCCATCTTCTCGAAATAACCCCATCCTTATAATAACATGCCTCATTATGATAGCCCGTTTCTGTCTCTTCCTTTAGGCCATTCCTCAAGAACATATTACTGTTTAATGCATGAGGCATGGATCTACATGCAGTGTACATACACGGTGCATCGATGCCATTACATTTTCAGAGAGGGCATCCGAAAAGAAATCCAAATATGTTCCTTAGGAGCATGATAATGGGGGAGGGGGTGGGGGGTGGGAGCCACCAAGGTTGAGAAGCCCTACCATAATAACAAGCACCTTAGAGTCAGGAACACATTCACGTACTGTCCCACACGCCAAGCAGAGAGGCTGTGTGTCATGGAGATTGACAACAGGACAGAAGAAGAGAGAGAAAGGAATATTTGCATCCATGTGTGCATGTAGGGCTGCAAACAAGGGCAGCAATATGCTTAAACAATAAACAGCAATGGCTGGCTTAGTTGGGGTGCCTCAGATAATGAAGTTCTAACCTGATCTCCCCCAGAAAGTCACCCCAAGATAGAAGACACCTTGTTGGAGTCCCC